ACAAATTTGATGAGTTCCCCATCTATCCCCTCATTCAAATCGTTGATGAAGATGTTGAATAGTACTGGGCCTAGAACAGAGCCCTGGGGTACCCCAGTACACACTTCCCTCCATGTAGATGCAGTTCCATTGAGGACCACACGCTGAGTACCGCATGTCAGCCAGCTACAAATCCATCTGATGGTGATGCTGTCTAACCCACATTTTTCTATCTTATCAATAGTATATTATGATCTACTTTATCAAATGCCTTACTGAAGTCCAAGTAAATTATATCCACAGCATTCCTCTGGTCCATTAATTTTGTCACTTGGTCAAAGAATGCAATAAGATTTGTCTGGCATGATCTGTTTTTGACAAACCTATGTTGGCTTTTAGTAATGACTTTGTTTGCCTCTAGGTGTTCGCTGATTCGTTGTTTGATTATCTTTTCCAGAATCTTCCCAGGTATTGAGGTCAGGCTGATAGGTCTGTAATTTTCTGGATCCATTTTTTCCCCTTTTTTGAAGATGGGAACTACATCAGCTCTTTTCCAGTCCTCTGGTAATTCCCCAGTGCTCCAGGATCTTTGAAAAATATAGTTCAGTGGTTCTGAGATCACATCTGCCAGTTCCTTGAGAACCTTGGGGTATAATCCATCTGGTCCCGGTGATCTGAACTCGTTTAGGCTGGATAGGTGCCCCATTTACCATTTTCTTGCCTATCTTAACTTGTGTTTCTATTCTGTTTTTTATGGCACTGTTTTTGATAGGTTGGACCGTTTTTTCCCTTTGTGTAAAGACAGATGCAAAGAACGAGTTGAGTAGTTTTGCTTTCTCCCTGTTGCTTGTCACCTTCTTGCCACTTTCCCCCACTAATGGACCAATAATTTCCTTATCTTTTTTCTTGTTTTTTACATGTTGAAAGAAGCTTTTTTTGTTATTTTTGACTTTGGTCGCAAGCCTTAGTTCATTTTGAGCCTTAGTTTTCCTCCCTTCACCTTTGCAGGCTTGGGTTATTTGCTGATATTCAGCCTTAGTTATGTGCCCCTCTTTCCACTTTTTATACTTGTTCTTTTTATCTTTCAATTTATCAGAGAGTTATTTATGCAGCCATGCTGGTTTCTTTTGAGAGCTGTTATTTTTCTTCTTTGTTGGTATTGTGCTAGACGGGGTTTTATTATCTTACTTTTCAAGATTTCCCAAGCTTCTTGAGTTGTTTTCCCCTTGAGGATTCTCATCCATGGAATCCTTCCCAAGCTCTCTCTATGTTTATTGAAATTAGCTCTCTTAAAGTCCAAGACTCTAGTTTGACTGTGTTCTATTGACTGTGCTTCCATAATGTTGAATTCCAATATTGCATGATCACTTCCCCCCAAGGTTCCTGTGGCTTCAATACCTTCTATCATTTCATCTCTGTTAGTGAGAATTAGATCCAATATGGCTAATCCCCTAGTTCCCTTCTCTGCTTTTTGGGAGACAAAGTTGTCTGCTAGGTTTGTCAGGAATCTGTTTGATCTTCCACTTGGTGCAGAGTTTGTCTCCCAGTTGATGTCAGGGTAATTAAAGTCCCCCATTACTATTGTGATGTGCTTCCTACATACCTTAGTTAGCTGACTAGCAAAAAGTTCATCTATTTCCTCTGTTTGGTTGGGTGGCCTATAGGATACACCTATGGCAATGTCATTTCCCCCACTTTTATATTGACCCAAATGCATTCAAGACAGTTTTCATCATTGTTGTGCTCTATTTCTGTAGAGATGTAGTTATTTCTTATGTAGAGAGCAACTCCACCTCCTCTTTTATTTGGTCTGTTTCTTTTAAATAATTTAAATCCCTCTAGCTGTGTGTTCCATTTGTGGGTTTCATCCCACCATGTTTCTGTAATGGCAACAATATCATATCTGCCCTCATTAACCTGAATTTCTAGTTCACCCTGTTTATTGTTCATACTCTGTGCATTGGTGTATAGACATTTGAGTCCTTTATGACTGACCCTCATCCAAATGCTAATAACAATTCTTGGCCAAAGATCCCTCTGAATATTCTTTTAGGAGAGAGGGTGCCCAGAAGGAGAGAATTTATGTAGTCCCAGCAGATGTGTAATTTTGGTTACATAGGATCCTTCAACTATTCTGCTTTAATCCCCTCCCTCAAAACAAATTAGATTCTTTGTTGTTTGAAGCTTCTAAGATTCATCCCTGCTAGGAAAAAAGGACTTTTATTGGTTATCTAGTAACTGTCACAAATATTTACCTCCAAACAGCTAATATGCTGATTTAATTCTTTTTCAGACTTAGTATTTGAAGAGATGAGTTATCACAAGCCAGCATAAGCATAAATGGAAAGTATGAGACAAGAGCTTTTTCTCATTTTGCTCTTTCATTTTCTACATTTTTAAATCTCAAACACAAGTCTAAAGATTTCTGATTTGTAACTGAAACCTTTTCTTGCATTCTGCATTTTCATAGCTTGCCTCAGTTGCATTTGCTATTATTAATAATCATGGGTCTTAATCTGCTAGAGCAGGCATGTCAAACTGCCAGCCCATGGGCTAGATGGATCACAACGAAACCGCGCCCACCCCATTGCCGGCAATGGGAAAAAAGTCACGATACGTCGTGCAACATCATGTGATGTCGCGAGTTTGACATGCCTGTGCTAGAGCAATACTATAATATTATAGCAGTACTATAATATTATACTATAGGCCACAATACACATAACACTAGAAGCTTATGATAAAATGTGACACCATGACTCTCAATTACACGAAGCAGATTTTGCAAGGAAATATGGCCAGCATCCTAACTCTGTAGCTCTGTATAGTTTAACCTTGCACTAACTGTAACACTATCTCTATGATACCAACTCTATGAACACTTGGTAACAAAATAGACAGGGATGCTGACATGCTTAGGTTTCCAAACATTCAAAATGAAGATACAGGGTTTACAGGCTAATACTAATCACATTAGAACTATTTTAGAATAATTATTCTGCCAATTTTCTAAATATCCTCACTATGCACCAAGATACTATCCTGAGGGATCTGTATGCATAAAGACAGTAATGGCTTTAACAAGCATCCAATGCCCAACAATTGTTGTAGAGTTAGACTCGAAGGAAGGAAGGAAGAAAGGAAGGAAGGAAGGTTGGTTCTGTGTATCAATGAGAAAAGCAGAAGATGAAAGGAGAAATTAGATAAACAATGTAATGTTTGTAGAGACAGAAAAGATAATGGAAATTAACAAAAGATTTCTAAATTTGGCTCACTTACCTTGGGAGTGCCTGGGGCCATGACATCCTTCAGTAAAGCATTCTTACTATCAAAATAGAAAAAGAAGAGAACATAAATAGATATATTTATTTATCCTCTTCCCAAAAGAGGATTTCAAAGTCCTACTTTCTTATTTGTAAAACCCTCTCCATAAAATTCCTATACATCAGAGTAAACTTCTGCTTATGCAGAAACTAAAAGATCACCATTGCACCATACTCCTGCCATATAACTTCCATTTTTATTAAAGATAGTCCTCAACGTACGACCACAATTAAGCCCAACATTTCTGAATGAAAACAGTGAAACAGTTAAGTAAGTTTTTTCCTATTTTATGACCTTTCTTGTCATGGTTGTTAAAGGAATCACTGCAGTTGTTAAATTAGTAACACAGTTGTTAAGTGAATCTGACTTCCCCATTGACTATGCTTGTCAGAAAGTCGCTCGCATGATCCCAGGACATGTTGTCAATACGAAAAATGGTCATAAGTCACTCTTTTCAGCGTTGTGTTAACTTTGAACAGTCATTAATTGAACTGTTGTAAGTCAGGGACTACCTGTAATTAAATTTGCATTTCATTTCATTTTTCCTCCTCAAAACCCAGGGTAGCATAGTTTTAATCTTATATAACATAACCTTCATAGTAAACTGAGGAAAGAGATTAACATGGAAGTTGAATAGGGATTGACATTGAAATTTCTATTATCCAAGGCGAAACTTCAGCCACCAAACTACATAAAGTTTTATAGCATTTCAGTTCTGTATTACACAGGACATTGATTTGGGGAGCAGCTCTTGAGGTAATGTCCAAAAGCTTCTGTCAGCATAAAATGTAAGGCCACATGTGGTTCATGATACAAGGAACATATTACAACCATGTTGAAGACCTCTATTCATTGTTAATTGTTTATCAGATATAATTTAAAATAAAGGTTTAATCACCAAAGACTTAAATGCCTTAAATCCTTGCTATGAATCACTCTGGATATATAATTTAGAAAGAGAGGCTGCTTCTTTGCCAGAGACATGGGAGGTTGATTTCTGATGGTTCCACTGTATGGAAAATACTCTTTCAGGAGTTGTACTCAGCAACCGATCTTTTGGCTTTCTTGAGAGGAATCAAGACCTACCTTTTCAGCTAGGCCTTCTCCATTTGATTTTCACACTGTCATAAGTTTTTCAGTACTAATTATCATTAGCCACTTTATGAGTGCCATACAACAAAGATGGGATATTAATGGTATGTAAATGAATAAAGAAGCAATTTAGGCCATTCAACCAGACCTCTTTTGGGTCCCCATGCAATTTAGCTCAGGGGGGGGGAGGCAGGCATTACATTCTTAAATAACTGTGGGAATTGAAGCAGAGTAGCAAAGTGTTAAAGAAAACAAAATCTAAAAACTGGGAAGATATACCACAGCCTTCGGTATGTCACATGGAATACTGGAGCATATACTGTAGATTAATAAAAAACAGCATGCTCTGGCTGCATGCTATTCAGGCAATAGTTAAATTAAATGGGTACTATAGAATACCTTCCAGTTTAGCTAGGCCTGATACAAAACAAAAAGAAAAATAAAGGCATTCTTTATTTGGTTGGTTCTTCAGACTGCTATTAGAACAGAAACCTGGATGAAATCATTGCTCAATACAGTATGTAGGCACTGTATTTCTAGATTATAGGTGTTCTAGAAAAATATCAACATATTGTATATGTATTATCATTATCATTATTATGGCTGGTCGCATAGTCAGCCAGAAGTTTAGATTGGATTTGGCATTTTTATCCACCTATCAAGTCTTTTCCAAGGACCTGGGATAGCCAGATATTGGTGTTTGATGGTGTGAAAGGTATCATCACAGGGTGTAAGCTGTTCCAAGTAAAGCTGCCTTTTGCAATTGACAGACAGTGATTTTGTCCATGCTGATGGTGTCCAAATGGTGTTCCAGTTGTTTTGGGATTGCATCCAAGGCACCTATTACTATTATTATTACTCCTGCCTTTAGTTTGCACAACCCAAGGCAGCTCATACAATGCTCCTGCTTCCTATCTTCCCCATAACATCTCTGTGAAGTCAGATTGGCTGAAAGAGTGAGACTGGCCCAAATTCTGGATTTCATGATTATTGGGAAGATTAGAATTCATGACCTCCTACACCACTGTGGCTCTCATTTAGTGCATTTCTATAAAAACTACACAAATTTACTGTACTATGGGCAGCAAACAATGTGTTACTTCTTATGACTACCAATGCTGCAGTACAGATACTATTAAACTATAGTATTCATTCTCCTGTTTGATCCAATCTTGTTTCCACATAATTGCCCATGCACATTAACAAATGGTACCTTCCTTGGGCTCAGTTATTCATATGAACTGCCCTGTTACCCTGTAGTTGGCCATCGGTGCTCTCCGTTCAGAAACAATTTGATGTTCAGCTACATTTCTAAATGTAAGTACATTACATTTCTCAGCAGTTCCAGGCATTCACAACACTTGGGCCAGTTCATACAACAGCTCTCGAATAGAATATATATACAAAGTCTCAAGAACGAAAAACATAAGACTTCATATAGGGCTGGGTTCTGAATAAAAGGTGACACAAGGTGGATGAGTAGAAAATAACTAAAATTAGATAGGCTTTTCTGCAAGCTATAGGAATTCCTTCTCTATTTGGTTGGCTGATTTGTTAATTTCACTCCATTTCTATTTAATGGCTGAAAGGAGGTTCACACCATGGTGATCCTCCCGCTTTCTCCCTTCCTTCCCCGGAGCAAGATGCTTCACATTTAATAATGCCTTTCAACCTCACTCGAGACAGGTTAAATTTGAAACAATTACATATCAAAGGCGATGGGGCGGGGAGACCCCACACTGTAATTTTTTGGGTTATTAAAGTAATCTCTCTCATGTAAATTCTCTCGCTAACATGCCACAAACAGCATTAGGAAATAAATGATTTCCCCATGATTCGATTTACCAATACAAAGCACCTGCAACAGGCAAAAATAGGGCTCTGATATATGTTACTGAGGCTGATGTTTTGCACTGCATGACTCCCACAGCTGGAGATCCCCCTCTGTATCTTGGGGAGGGTGGGTGATGGATGGATGGGGGTGGTGGTTAGGGGAGTAGGAGGAGATGGTGGAGAGAAAGAATTGTACTTAATAATAAAATTTGTATGCAAGTCAGCATCCCAAGCTAGGGATGACTGATCGGCAGCCAGAAAGTATTAAAAAGGCTTGCTAAACAGATGCTGACAATAGAACAAGACATATCAAATCAAATCTATTCCAGAAGCATTAATACACACATACGCACGCACACACTTCTTCCCAATCACAGCAATATGGGAGACATCAATAAATTTTTATGAGACTTTCAGAAGATCAACATGCTACTGGATGTGACAAAAAAGCAATGTGGCTGTCATGTTCGCTTTGTTGGGGACACTTTAGCCCCAGATGTCGAGCTGTGGCAGCAGTGAGCAGAAATTGAATTTGGCTGGCTTTAATCTGCCTTTCGTTGGCAGATGGTTAGATGCTGTAAAATGAAGCAAAGAGGGTTGTTTGGGAAGGGTTGTCTCCTAGAGGTAGTTTCCTTCTATGTAGCACTTGCTGTGGACTTTTTTTGTCACAATCTCAGCATTCCCTAAAATGGAAGTCCAAAGTCACCCTTATATTACAAAGAGACCCAGTTAACTGCTCTTACCAATAAAGAAATATTTGTGTACATATGAGATAAAAGGATAAAAGGCACTAATACTGAGAATAGCAAATTATTTTAGGCAGCATTAAATATGATACATAAAATTCAATCAATCAAGTTTTATTTTCTTAAAAGTAGTGGCATTTTAATGTAGTAAGAATATTTGAGTAGAGAGCAGGTATTTGAAATGAAACGCAAATACTATCTGTCAAAATAATTTAACTAATAGTAATCCAAGGTATTAACTTTGAGTATAATATTTTGATCTCTGGATATGTCTTCAAATAAAGACAGGAATTATGAGGTCAAACCACAGATTATTCAATCTCCTATTCTCTTAACAGTAATTTATATTGCTTGCTTTAATATAAGAACATAAAATATAATCTACACATTTCTTCCAACTTACCCTTCTCTTCTTGAATCTAAAACTGAGGACAGAAATTAGGTTTCTAATTACATAATTTCTGTATATCTTGACAAATATATTATGGTGATTCTCTTTTACATGTCCTTCATGCAGAGATCATAGCAGAGTTAGTAGTTGAAAAGCTATAAGCAAAGGGGGAAAAACCCCTTCCTATAAACAGTGCTGGAAAATTAAAAATGGTAAAGAAAATCATGACCTTTAAAGTTCAAACACCTTTCAGCACCTTTTAAATTTTTTTTGCTCCAGGCCCTTCCAAAGAGCACAATCTTTGGAGACCTCAGAATTCTCTTTAATCACTAAGCAAGTCAGCAGTGGTCTGAAATCATCACACATTTACATAGTAATAACCTCAGACAACACTCCCAACTTTATTTCATAGCCAGCATATTGCCACACAGTGAGAGATCCATGTGGTTTAAATCATAACCCATACATAGGAAATTAGTTGCTAGCTATGATCTTTGCAGGTTTCTCTGACATTTCTAATTAAGATGATTTACAAAGAATTATCCTTTGAAAGCAAAAAATTGTGTTTTGCTAGCTAATAAAATATAATTACTTCATACCCCTACCTACCCACCCTTTTCAAGTTACAGTTAGTTTTAATCTGTTTGAGGAATTATTTATCCAGTTCATTATGATAACACAGCTTACTTGCTCCCTTTATATGGAAGCAAATTACAAGAAAAGAGTGATCAGGTGGAAGAGAGTATACCTTCTAAAACAGTGGCCCCCCAACCTTTTGGGCACCAGGAACTGGTGCTGTGGAGAGAGGTTTTTCCATGGACCGGAAGGGGTGTGGTTTCGAATGCTGCCTGCATCCCGTGGATGGGGCTTCGCTTGTTTGCACGGCCTGGTTGCTGGCATGCTGTGGCCTGGTGCCGGTCCATGGACCAGGGGTTGGGG